AATGGGTTCTTAAACTGGACCGGAGGGCAGAACAAAAGCATGGATGGAGTGTTTGTGTGAACTAATATAAATTCAAAGTAAACATCATTACATAAAAGGGTACGGTCTTTTTTTTCAATAGTGTTATTCATTTCAAACGGGCCGGATCGGCCCGTAGTTTGCCCACGGCTGGACTACACCCTAACGACCAAAGCCAGCTGTGACCCTGGGTTCTGCCCTCCCTGCGCCTTGCCTCACCTGGGTCATCAGCCCTCACCAAGCCCCGCCCACTAAACCAGTTTCGGCAATAAAATATATTTTTTAAAAAAAGGACAAAACAACAACAACAACCCCATCCATATACACATATGTTTAGAAATGTATAAAACGAAGGGAAGGATAATATGTCTCAAACTGTTAGCAACATTTTATTTAAAAAGTAGCCAGCAGGAACGCATTCTGGGCCAGTCACCATTTACAAGGATTTCATTTTATCCTAGCAACAACCCTGCGATTGGGTCTACGATTCTCGCTGTTTCACAGGCGAGGAAAACAAATGTCAATCGACGAGGAAAAGGAACAGACGACACCAGGGGTGGGCAAACTTTTTGACTCGAGGGCCACAATGGGTTCTTAAACTGGACCGGAGGGCAGAACAAAAGCATGGATGGAGTGTTTGTGTGAACTAATATAAATTCAAAGTAAACATCATTACATAAAAGGGTACGGTTTTTTTTTTCTCAATAATTTTATTCATTTCAAACGGGCCGGATCCGGCCCGCGGGCCGTAGTTTGCCCACGCTGATCCAGGAGGTCATGGTTTGATTCCCGTCAGGGCACATGCCTGGGTTCTGGGCTCGGTCCCCAGTAGGAGGTGTGCAGAAGGCAGCGGATCAGTGGTTCTCTCTCATCATGGATGTTTCTATCTCTCTCCTGCACCAAGATGTAGAAGACAGCCAGAGGCAGGATGACCACAGCGAAGAGCGGCGTGCTGACCATGATGACCACGATGGTGGAGACGGAGGTGTAGAAGGAGCTCAGCAGCATGAGGATGGTGGGGGCCAGAGCCTCGTCGATGACGCAGATGTCCTTGGAGAAGCGGTTGAGGATGCGGCCCGACGGCGTGGTGTCGAAGAAGGCCTGTGGCGAGCGCATCTTGTTGTGCAGCAGTGCCTGGTGCAGCAAGCGCGCAGCCCGGACGCAGCCCACGACCATCATGATGGAGGACAGCACCACCAGGACCCCTGGTGGAGGAGGCAGAGGGGCGCTCACTCGCCTGGGCCAGGTGGCAGGCACGCAGGCGGGCGCCGGTTCCGAGATAGGGGCTGGGTGGGCCCAGAGGCAGGTGGACGCTAGAGTGGGTTAGGGAGGCCTTGGGGCTGGGCCATGGCTGTGGTGGTGCAGGGAAGGGCATGGTTTGGGGGACTCAGCAGCTCCCGGGTGAGAAAGGGGCTACTGGCGTTCCTCCCAAGGATCTCCGCAGGCTCACCTTGCAGAATTCCCAAGGTGGCATACACACCCAGCCTCTGGGCGGTGCTGTTCTGTCGGCCACCCACCGTGGCCTCGTTGGTCCAGGCGCCGAGCCACATGTTGGCGCCAATGGCAGCTGCGCTTTGTCCCGCGTACAGCAGACAGATGACCAGGGTGGTACAGTGCCCCACAGCCCTGGCATAATCCCAGAACACGTTCAGCTTCACCTGCAGGGCCGTGGCGGTCAGGGACAGAGGAGTCCTGGGAGCCCCAGGACTGCTGGGGACCTGCCCGCTCTCTCCAGCCCTCCTTGTCCACCCTCCTCACCTTGCCCGTCTCCACTTTCTCCTCTTCAATCAGCGTCCCATTTGCTTTCGCCTCTGCTGCCTGCGCCAGCTTTTCTGCTGGACCCAGGCGCCGCCGGGGCGCAGGCCGACCTTGGCCCTCCCCCTCCGAGGACATGGTACTCAGCTGTCTGTGGAGGCAGCTGGTCAGGCCGGAGAGGGGGCCTCTGACTCACCCACAAGACAGAGCCCCAGGAGGAGGATGCAGGCGGCAGCAGAGGCCCAGGGTGTACGTCGGGGAGGATGCCCATCCACCTGCACCCCACCTGGCAGGGCTGGGGGAGCCCCGACCCAGCTTCCCGGGGGGCTGCGCGCTCTCAGCTCACCTCATAAACTGCTTCTGGACCTCGTACAGGACCGGTTCGTTGTCCATCAGGTCTGTGTGGCTGCTGAGCGTGTCTTCAATCAGCAGCAGCTCCTCGTTGTCTGCCTCCTCCAAGGCTGCTGCGGGGTGGGAGGAAGGAGACGGAGGTCTGCTAGCTCCCTAGAGGCCCCATCCCTACGTCAATGAAGGAACCTGAATGGACAAGCATGAGCTAAGGAAGACGAGAGGGGTTGAAAGGGCAGCAAGAACAGTAACGACCAGAATAAGTGACCGGTTTTGTGTTGGACAAGGAAAAGGGCAGCAAGAAAGGCTTAGGTGAGACCAGAGGGGAAACTTCCCATCACGGGCTATAGAGAAAGGGACTCAGATACAAGGGTTAGGAGCGTGGGCTCTGGAGTCAGACTGGCTGCGCTTACATACCGCTTCCTCGCTGCATGGCTTTAGGCAGGCATGGAAAACCAGGATAATAATAGTACCCACTTCATCATGTCGTTGAGAGAATGAAAGGAATAGATGTGTGTCAAGTGCTCAGCAAGGGGCACAGCCCTTAGTAAATGCTCAGGGCGTGTTAACGTACATACAGCCGCAGGCAAGAAAACCCAGGGAGCCAGCCCAGGGTTTGGGGTTGGGGATCTGAGACCGGACGACAGGGGGCGAGGAGCAGGGGTGTCCTAGGAGCCCAGGGACTGACATATGTTCGATGAGGACAGGAATTTTTCTATTTGTTCACTGCTATCTCTCAGCGTTTAGGATAGTGCCTGGCCATAGTCATTGCTCAATAAATATGTGTTCTGCCAAAACCAGTTTGGCTCAGTGGTAGAGTGTCGGCCTGCGGACTGAGAGGTCCCAGGTTCGATTCCGGTCAAGGGTATGTACCTGGGTTGCGGGCACATCCCCAGTAGGAGATGTGCAGGAGGCAGCTAATCGATGTTTCTCTCTCATCAATGTTTCTAACTCTCTGTCTCTCTCCCTTCCTCTCTGTGAAAAATCAATAAAATATAAAAAAAATAAAATAAAATAAATAAATATGTGTTCATAAATATGACATATGCACCAAACAATGTATCCAGGAAACAGCCTGGGCCCTTTGACACATGGGAAAACTGAGGCTCTGAGGGTGCCCAGTTAGGGGAGAGGAAGAGGAGGGACTGACTACATCCAGGTCCCTTTCCCTCCTGGTGATGTCTGACCATCACACAGAGGGTCCAAGTCCCCCAGACCCTCCCTTGCACAGCATCGGGCCCTGTCCACAGACATGCAGAGACCCCGAGGCAGGGGAGATGCTGGGAGGGGACAGGGGCATGGAGGGCCAGGGGTACCGGTCCTGCTGCTCTCCTCCTGGTGTTCCTCGCCCTCATCCGGTGCGTAGTTGTGGAGGAAGTTGGCAAAGGAGCCGTTGCGCTGCAGGAGGGCTGGGTAAGTGCCCACCTCAGACACCTGTCCGTCAGCCAGCACGACGACGAAGTCTGTCTGGGGCAGGAAGCTGATGCCGTGGGTCACCAGCACCCGGGTCTGGGGAGAAGGCAGGGGGCTGTCACTCCCACAGCCCTCAGCACACACCCCAACCACAGGCACAGGGCCCCAGAGTGAGTGTGAGGTACCCATGTGTCAGGGAGCCCGGGCAGGCACATCAGGGACTCACCCGTGCTCACCACAGCTGGCTCAGTGCATTTGGGCTGTGAGCTCCCACCCCACACTCCTGCTTCTCACATCCCCACACCTCCAAGTGTCACCCAAACCCCCTGGCCTCCCACCAGTTCTCTCCTAGGCCCTAGATCTCACCTTAGCCCCTTAGCTCCCTGGAGGCCTCACCTTGCTTGCCAGCACACCTTCCGGCCCGATGACTTGGTCAAAGATGTGTTTGGCCACGTGGGAGTCCACGGCTGACAGTGGGTCATCCAGCAAATAAATGTCGGCATCACTGTAAACAGCTCGGGCCAGGCTGACCCGCTGCCGCTGGCCCCCAGACAAGTTGATGCCCTGGATGGGGGAGAGGGGAGGGAGGTGGGTCCTGGGTAGGAGGGGTCAGACGGGCACAGGGAAACCAGGGCCCTGTCCATTGTCATTCAGCAAGGCACACCTCTAAATGCACACTTCACATGCCCGGTCCTGTCTCCGTGAAGCTGTGAGGTCATGGAGAAAGGGTGGTGGCTCTCAGTCCTCCTGGGACATGTGAGGACATCCTGTTCCCTTTGCTCCATCCCCTGCCCAACTGGTTCCCCTGCCTGCCACCCTCACGCTTGGGCAGGCTGGAAATCCCCAGGCAGTCCCTCGTAGACCTTTAACTCTTCTGTCACCCAAACAGTTTGCAGATGACTTTCGTAACGATGATCTCAATTGGTCCTCAGGTCATTCCTTCCAGGGAGGTATTGTTAGCCCCACTTTGGGGGATCAATTTAGAAATGATAAATAACGATGGTACTGGATTATAATCCATTGGATCAAATAAGAACCCATGAACCCATCTATACTAATAATAGCCGAGGTGGCATCACGCCCTAACATCGTCACAAGATGGCTGCGCACACAGCACAGGCGGGGCCCGATGGCCGCTCCGTGCAATGAGGCTGGGGGTCCCGCAGCTGCTCTGCCTCGCGTGGAGAAAGCGGGTCCCAGCAAAGGAGGTGGGTTGTGGCAGGGGAGAGCAGTTGGGGGGCGATCAAACCAGCAGGGGAGGGCGGTTGGGGGCCATCAGGCTGGCAGGGGAGCAGTTAGGCATTAATCAGGCCGACAGGGGAGCGGTTAGGGGGCGATCAGGCTGGCAGGCAGAAGCGGTTAGGGGCAATCAGGCAGGCAGGCTGGCAGGCAGGCAGGCAAGCTGTTAGGAGCCAGAGGTCCTGGATTGTGAGAGGGATGTCCCAGATTGGAGAGGGTGCAGGCCAGGCTGAGGGCCCCCTCCCAACCACCCCCATGCATGAAATTCATACACTGGGCCTCTAGTATTAATATAAAGAAATTAATGAATAAGTAAAAAAAGGCAAAGGAGGAGAGAGCTCTTTCTTAGAGTCAAATGCCAACTAATAACTATAGAATGAATGGAGATAGAAAGTTAGTATTTGGCAAACATCATAGTAAACACTGACTCAGGAGAGAATCATCAGTGAAAGTTATGAAATAAAATGACCAATGAAAAGACATGCCTCCATGACAAAAACAATTTCACGTTTTAGATTTAGTAAAAGAAAAACAATTTTAATTTTCTAAGGTGATATAGTTCAATATGCCCATTTTGAATTATGTAATTAACTGGTATTCAGTATTTATTAAATAGAATGCAATGTCCTTCATGAAATTGACATGATCAATAATCTGTTTATTTGATTAGTGACCATAGAGAAATTATTTTTATTTATACCTCACACAAGTCAATTCTTTAACAATAAGGCTTGCATTCAGATAAGATATATTTAAAGTGAGGCTAACCATAGCACAGCCAATGATTAATTAAACTGATTTTTTGTTGAAATTTAAGAGATGAGATTATGTATTTAGTGATTGTGGTAAAAAATTGTGGTTGGAACAATCTTGGATATATCACTTGATGGAACAAAACATATCGCGCTACCTTTGGATAATGAATCAAAGAATACATTCACCTCAGCAAGTATAATAGGAGGAAATTTGGGCTTTTTATTCTAGCAAGAATTTGTTTTAGCCTACTTTTCTGGAGATCTTGGGTATGAAGCTCTATGTAATGTGTTGTTCGAGATTGGCAGGCAAATTCTGTATTGTTCAGTGACAGTACATTTACTGCTGGGTCCTGTGAGAGAAGTATGTTTTCCAAATATAGTAACTCCATTTTAGGAAACAAAGAGGTGAGCTATGAGTATTTATGTTTGTTAGATTCGTTTACTTGAAATGAGTTCTAAGTAATGGGCTTTAGTAATTAATTTGTTTGAACTTGAATAAAGTAAAGCTTTAGTGAGTAAAGTGTGAAGTCCCTGAAAAAAGAGATACTGAAGATAAAAGGGCAGAAGTTAACATTCTTATTTTGCATGCTGATCACGGAACTACTGAACTACATCGCCGGTGTCCTGACTTTGGAAAGGCTTATTAGTTTTTAAATGTTACTTCATTTTGCAATTGAGATTTAATAAAGTGTAGATTTAATAAAAAAAAGAAAGAAAGAAAGAAAAGACATGCCCTCAGGCAAGTGATCAAAGTTAACGCTGTTAATAAATGGACATCACGTGCCTCCTAACACGGTGCACCAAGAAGGACATAATATTACTCCTTTCGTATTTCCCCCCAAAATATACAACCTGCATCTAACTGTGTTCAAATTGAGAGACATTCTACAAAAAAACTGACTTATACTTTTCAGAAATGTCCAGGTCCTGAAAGACAAAGACTGAGGAATCATCCAGATTGATAGAGAATAAAGAGATATGACAAGTAAATGCAATTCATGATCCCGGATTAGATCCTAGCCCAGGAAAGAAAATAGCTAAAAAAAGACATTTCTGGGACAAATGATGACATTTGAGTACAGACTGTGAATTAGATAGTAATATTATATCAATGTTAAAATTTCTTGATTTTGATCATTCATCTATGGTTATGTAAGAGAATACCATTTTTTTTTTGAGGAAATACAGACTCAAATCTTTAGTATTAAAAACAATACGGTGCCTGGCTAGTGTGGCGTTAACCCATAAACCAAGAGTTCACTGGTTCAATTCCCAATTTCTGCTCAGGGCACATGTTCAGGTTGCGGGCTCGGTCCCCAGTGTGGGGCCTGCAGGAGGCAGCCGATCAATGATTCTCTCTCATCATTTATGTTTCTGTCTCTTTCTTCCTCCCTTCCTCTCTGAAATTAATAAAAATACATTTCTTTAAAAAGAGCTGAAACTCTTAGAAGAAAGCATAGGGGAAAATTTCATGACATTGGAAGAGGCAATGTTTCTTGGATACGACACCAAAAGCAAATACAATACAAAGAATGCAAGAAAATTTTGTATCTCATATGTCAGGATTTGTATATAGAATGTATAAAGAACTATCACAACTCTATAATAAAAAGACAATCCAATTAAATAACTTGAAAAGTATCTAAACACATGGTTCTCCAAATAAGATATACAAATGGCCAATAAGCACATGAAAAGATGCTCAACATCACCACACCCTGTTAGAATAGCTACTATCACAAACCAAAACAACCCCTTCCCGCCCAAAAGCCACAAGTGTTGGCCAGGATAGGAGTTGGAGTCTTTGTGCACTGTTGGTGGGAATGTAAATTGGTGCAGCCACTATGGAAACGCTATGGCAGTTCCTCAAAAAATAAAAAATGAATAGAATTACCATATTATCTAGCAATTCCACTTCTGGGTATATACTCTAAAGAACTGAAGGTAGGTTCTCAAAGAGATATTTGCGCACCCATCTTTATAGAATTATTCACAATGGCTAAAAGGTGGAAACAACCCAAGTGCCCACTGACAAATGGATAAACAAAACGTGGCATAAACATACAATGAAAGATTATTGGGCCTTAAAAAGGAAAGAAATTTAAAATTTTTTCTATTGATTTTAGAGAGGAAGGGAGAGGGAGGAAGAGATAGAAACATCAATGATGAGAATCATTGATTGGCTGCCTCCTGTATGTCCCCCACTGGGGATTGAGCCTGCAACCTGGGCATGTGCCCTGACCGGGAATTGAACTGTGACCTCCTGGTTCATAGGTTGACGGGCAAACACCGAGCCACGCTGGCTGGGCAAAAAGGACAAAAAATTTTGACCGGTGCTATAACAGGAATGAACCTTGAGAATGCTAAGAGAAATAAACCAGTCACACACAAAAAGATACTCTATGATTCCATTTATATGAAGTACCTGGAGGAGTCAAATGCGTAGAGACAGGGAGTAGCAAGGTGATTGCCAAGAGCTGGGGAGGAAGCAGGATGGGGAGCTGTTGTTTAATGGGTATGGAGTTTCAGTTTTGCAAGATGCAAAGCGTTCTGGAGATGGATGGCTATACCACAATGTGAGTGTACGTAACACTACTGACCTGTCCACTGGAAAATGGTGAGGATGGTAAATTTAGTTATGTACATGTTGCAACAATTAACAACAAATAAACTAAAAAACAGAAACTTTCACTGATAGCCCGTGGTTTTTAGGTAAATGTCAAAACCTTAACCAAGGTCTGCAAGGCTCTGCCTTGCTCTCTACCCTCCCCCTGCCTTCCTTTCCCAACCACATTCCTCAGCTCACACCTTCAAAGGCTTTCCATCCCTCTTGGTAAAAGCCACCATCCTTACAGTGGCCTGCAAGGCACTGTGTGAAACGGTCGCCTGGACACCTCACTGGCCTTCTCTCCCTCTCCCCCCCCCCTGCTCGCTCCACTGCAGCCTCCTGGCCTCCGTGCTGGTCCTTATGTGCCCGATCACATTCCTGCCTCAGGGGCTTCGCACTTCCTGCTCTCTCTGCCTCTAAGGCCTTTCCCCAGCCAGAGCTCCAGGTCCCCAGACAGGGCCCACTCCCTCCCTTTATTCAGGTTCCAATTCTCACGGAGGCTTTCCCAAGGTAACAACACAGCCCCAGACGTGTTTCCTTCTCTGTTCCATTCTCTCCCCCTTAGCATTTATCTAAAATATTACATACTAGAGGCCCAGTGCACGAAACTCATGCACTGGAGGTTGGGGGGGTCCCTCAGCCCAGCCTGCCCCCTCTCACAGTCCAGGAGCCCTCAGGGGATGTCCTGACTGCGTAGGCCTGCTCCCCATGCCTAAGCCGCAGTCTGGCTGCGGAGGCTCAGAGCAGGCACCTCTCTGTGTTGATCTCTCAGGCTCAGGGTGGTGCCTGCGTATAGTTTTCTCAGGCTTGGGGCCGCACCCGGCCCCTCCTCCTGAGCTGGTGGTGACCCTTATGGAGTCCAGACCTCATTTGCATATTACTTCTTTATATATATATAGATTTTACTTACTTATCTTGCGTATGATCTCTCCCCCCCACCAGAACGTAAGCTATATGAAGGCAGAGATGTAAGACTGGTAGAGTCACTACTGTATAATAGTGCCTGGGGCCTAGGTGTGTGATGAAATCTGATTAATGAATGTGTAGATAAGTAGATGCACGACAGCTCTTCTTCCTCAGCTGTTAAGATCGGCTCAAAAGTGGTGCTTTTCCTGATGCAGAGTTCCCCCTCCCTGCCCTCCTGTCCTCTGCACAGGCCTTCAGCCTGGCGGGCAGGCATTCTACAGCCCCCACCCGTTCACAAGTTGGCCTCCCCCAGTAACGATCTGTCTCCCCAGTGCCCAGCACAGAGCTGGACATGCTATTACACGGATGTGTGAGTGAATGAATGAATGAGTGCATATATGGGCCTGGGCTGGGCTGAGGTGGGCAGGTGTATATGCCGACTCCCCAGGGGACGAGAGGGGACCATGTACCTTCTCTCCAATCTCTGTCTTGTCCCCGCCAGGCAGCACCTCCAGGTCGGCTAGCAGGGCACAGGCCTCCAGGGTCCGTTGGTAGCGCTTGGGGTCCAGGCCTCGGCCAAAGAGCACATTTTCCTGAAGAGTGCAGTTCTGGATCCAGGCCTGTTGGGGCACGTAGGCCACGGAGCCCTGGCCACGGGAGAAACCCACCATTACCTGGGGGTTCGCCAAGCCTCCCTTCCCAGGAGTCCCTACCCCACTCACCTTCACATACACCTTGCCTTCCAGCTTCTCCATCTCTCCCAGAAGGGCAGACACCAGGGAAGACTTTCCACAGCCCACGGGCCCCACCACGGCCACCAGGGCCCCTTTTGGCACCTGGATGTCTAAGCTGGGAGACAGGAACCCAGTCAAAGACAAAGATCAGGCTTTTGATTCCCAACCTTCCGCCTGGAGACCGAAACCCTTCTTTCTTCAGACACCGCCCTGGCCATTGAGGCGCTTCCTGCTTTCCAGGACAAAGACGTGGGGGTCGCTTCAGGGGCAGATTTTGTTATTTATTGCTCTGAATGTTGGCCCCCTTTAGGCAGCTAGGAAGGGGTGGGAGAAGCTGGTACCTGTGCAGGGTTGGGGGCAGGTCCTGGGCCCAGGTGAAGGTGCCACTGTCTATGGTGACTGCATAGCCTGGGAGGGTCAAGGTTTGCAGGGTCAGGAGAGTGGGCAAGGCAGGGGGGAGGTTGGGAGGGAGAGGTATGGGGAGCCCTGGGGAAGGGGCCAAGGAGAGAAGACAGGGACGCTTGGGGCATAGTGAAAGAGACAGGAAGGCCTGGGACAGGGGCACAGGGAGCCCCAGGGAAGGAAGGAGAGTGGGGGGATCTGGGGAGGGATAAAGGACAGGAGAATAGAGAGAGGAGGGCAAAGGCAGGCATAGAGTTAAAGATATGAAAGAGGAAGAAGAAAGGGGGTCACAAGGGAAAAGTTGAGAGCCTGGAACAAGGATTTTCTGGAGCAGGGCCACTGCAAGAGCAGCCCAGAAAGGGGTGTCTGGACCTGGGGCGATGGTATTTCTTTCCACACACTGGGGGTCAAGTTCATCTTGGCTCAGGAAATGCTGGATCCGTTTCAGAGACACGCTGGTCTGCAGGAGGGCGTGTGTCAGCCCCAGAAGCCATGCTTTTTCTATCTCCCTCCACTCCCTCTTACACTTGCCTGGCCCCCAACTTCCTGGGCGTGGACAGGCCCCCTGAAGGCCCAGACATGGGGGCCCTCCTGTGACTGAGTCTTCCCTGGCTCCCACTCTGGCCAAGAGAAGGCTGTCTCCAGAACTCAGGTTTCCAGGGACCTGACCTGACCTCCTCTGACCCCAAATGACCCCTGACTCTAACAACTTCATTCGACTTTGAACAATTCTTCGTCATGTCGGATGGCCCTCTCCTGATTGCAGTAACTCTCCTTGATTATCCCCTGCACCCATGTGACCCCAGCAACCTGCCCTCGCTCCAGCAGAAGCCCCAGCCCCCTGGGGTTACCTGGGTCAGGCCGCTGATGATCTGGGGCAGCATGCTGAGGGGGTTCTTTAAGATATTGAACAGGGACACCGACACAAAGGCCTTCTCAGCGTCCAGCACGTTGTTAGGGTCCACAGACACGTACACCCCGAGGGTGATGAGGGTCACCTGGAGAGCAGTGGGGTGGGTGTCGGGGTGGGGTGTGCTGGACCCAGAGGCCTGGGCTGCCCAGGAGGGAGGTGGGAGGTGGGAGGCCGGCCTGGAAGGAGAGCCTCACCAGGAAGGGGGTGCAGATCCAGGTGAAGATGGAGATGGCGTGGAGGTAGGCAGCCTGGCGCAGCAGCCGGAGTTCACTCTGTCGGATGCCCTCCACCTGCTGCAAGAAGCTGGGCTCCCAGGCGTATAACTTCAGCACCTTGATGCCACCCAGGATCTCGCTCATCAGCCTGATGCGCGAGTCCTTGAATTTCATTTGTTCTACCTGCGGAAAGTGTGGCAGTCGCGTGCTCCACTCCCCATCCCGGACCTCTACCCACAGGGGCGGGTACCTTCCAGGCACTGGCCCAGGCTGCAGCCATTGGCCTGCTCACCATCCTCCTCCCTCCTCCCCGCAGGGCCTGTGCTGCACCTTAGCCTGGAAGGCCCAGCCCAGTCTCCCCTCTCCTCCCGACAAAAACCCAGCTCCAGTGTCAGTACCAGTTATGGTCCCGCCCAGGCAGCATCCTCTGTCCCCTCTCCTGGGACTCTAGGGCACATTGTCCTTTCTTTTTGTCCCCAGCGAGACCCTGTCCCTAATCTAGGGCACAACCCCTATTTGTTGAGTGCCTACTATGTGCCAGGCCATGTGCTAGACGTGGGGCAGATAATGATGAACAACTCAAATAAGGCCCCAGCCTTCATGCAGCTGACAGTTTGATGGGGAGACAGGTGGGAAGCAAACAATTACCCAAGTAAATGCTTAATAAATCAGTATGCGTGCTCTGAAGGGAAACAACAGGATTCCGTGAGAGTCTGGGAAATCAGTTTATGATGGGAGGTGGGAGAAGAGAAGGAGTTGGACAAGCAAGGAAGGGATAGCATTTCAGGGAACAGTATGTAAGGTGGCCCAGAGGTACGCAGAGCTCGGTGCTTTGGAGAAATGTAAGAAGGCCAGACTGGCTGAAATTTGGCCATATCTCAGGGGGCAAGGGCTTGCAAGGTGAGCAGGGACCTGGCAGGTGGTCCCCGGGACTTGGTCATTTATTCGATGTGCAGTGGGAAGCGACTGAAGACTTCAATATGTGTTTGCAAACAAAGGACTGGATGACTGGCTAGGCACACTCGGCACCATGTGGCAGGAGAAACTCTCATTAGATCAGAAGATGCAGGTTCAAGTCCTAGCTCTGCCTGACACTGGATTGCCATCCTTTCTCTGGATCTTGGCTCCTCAGCTGCAAAATTAGCATTTTTTTCCTCAAACCCTGTCAGGGTTGCTGTGAGGAGAGAGTGAGCTAAGGTTTGAGAGAGTGGCTTGTAGCCATCCACAGCGAGTAAACAAAAAAAGGGAGGGGCCCCAGGTTAGTGAATGCCCTTCCCCAGCACCTGGCCAGGTGCTCCAGGCAGAGGCAGGGCGCCTGCTCCAGCACCCACCTGTAAAGTGCGCATCTTCATGGCCACAACTCCATTGATTGGGATCAGCAAGACCATGAAGGCGACTCCAGCCAGAATGGAGGGACCCAGTTTCTGAGGAGGCACAGGTGGACAGATCAGACAGATAACCAAAGTGTATATGTAGACAGAACCCAACAGATAGAGGCTTATTGATCTGAAACATGGACATGGGCAGACAGAGAGACAGTGAAAAGTGGACATAGAGAGAGAGCCAAAATGACTTTCTGCAGATGCAGTCAGCCATCAGATAATGACAACAGATAGGCACAGACAGGCAGACACAGAGGGGTGTCTAGACACACAGGAGGGCAAATACAGTCAGACAATGACAGTCAGTCACACACACCCTGTCTCCTAGTCCCTCTCTTCTCCCCTGGGATCTTTGAGAAGGATAATCATCCAGGTTGGAAAGACCTGGTTGCAGACACTAGCATCCTCCCAGTCCTGTCCCCCGCCCCCCACCACCCAGGTCACCCTCTCTCGCCCTTTCTCAGCAAGGTCAAGGTCAGAGGAAGGGAGCAGAAGTCGGGGTGTGAGAATCACCTGCCAGAGGAAGTAGATGGCCAGGATGATCTGCAGGGGCCCCGACCACAGCATGTTGAGGAAGGGGGCGACATCCATGATGCGCTGGGCATCCACTGACATGAGGTTGACCAATTCTCCCACCGTGGACTCACGTTTGACTGAATTGGTGATGACCAGAGCCTGCAGGCAGACAGCAGGTGATGAGCAGGTGATGAGCTGCTCCCCAAGCCAGGCTCCCCAGCCCC